CGTGCGTGCGTTGTACGTACGTACGTACGTGTGTGTGTGTTAAGTGTCTGTGTTCGTGTACGTATTTGTGTGCGCCTTCACTTGTGATAAAGCTTGCGACCGTATCCAATGTAAGCTGCATACACGTCGAAGTATTATTAGTACTCAAGAATGTTAGAGATGTCGAAAGACCTGTCGTTGCACTTCAAACAAGATATTATATTGTATATGGGCAATAGGCCGGCGTATCAATACACGCAAGCGCGTGTGCGTGTGCGCCTACATTTATGCGTGCGTGTATGCGCATGTGTGTGTGTGTGTGTGTGTGTGTGTGTGTGTGTGTGTGTGTGTGTGTGTGTGTGTGTGTGTGTGTGTGTGTNATACAACTATTAATTAATCATTTAATTATTAATTATTAATTATTATTAATTATTAATTATTAATTATTAATTAATTATTATTAATAATTATATTAATTATAATTATAATTAATATTAATATATATATTATAATATAATTATAATTATAATATATATTATAATTATTATAATAATTATAATTATTAATAATTATTAATTAATTATTATTAATTATTAATTATTAATTATTAATTATTAATTCATTAATTAATAGATACATATATTAATACAACTCTATGTAGTAGATAGAGATCAGTGCGATGCTTATACATACGGCGCGCGTAGCGCCATCTAGAGTCGCAATACGACATGAACAATACGCGATACAATACGAACCGATTCGACACAGAACGTAGCACGTTTAGTAAACGATTTTTCACGAGACGGTTTGCGGGTATATTATCCTCTGTAATTAAATCATGTTTCAATTATGCGGCATGACGATTTGCGTTCGCCAATATTCGTCAGAAGAAATAAATAAAAGCCAGATTTTCAAAACTTCCATCGTTCACGCTTTTACTGATATTAATGTTCATTTACGTCGATGGTAATATATATAATATATATATATATATATATATATATATATATATAGGCTACAGTATATAAACTACTACCGGCTATTGAGCTAGTGAATGATATGATGAACGACATTGTGAATAATAGGACGAGTGATAGAATGAATGATAGGATGAATGATAGAATGAATTATAGGATGAATAACAGAACGAATGACCGAATGAATGATTGGATGGATAGATGATAGGACTAATAGTTCCGGATTCTCCGTATAATTCAATAATAACAATTATTATCATAATAACATTAATAATAGCAGCAATAAATCTACGCATTATACATATAACATTGATGTGAATTTTAATAAAATTTTAATCCGTAACACAACTACTGCGTAACTACCGAGAACTAACACGATTGTCTCTTTAGTTAGTTAAACTAATATTTTGCAGATTTGCAGTAGATTTTGCACAGTTTTGCAGGAGATTTTGCATGATGTCAGCATGTAGTCTGGATTTGGCCTCGCATTCCCTTAGATGCCCAGTACATGCAGTAGCGGTTGTCATCGGTGCAGCTGTCCGCCACTGTAGGAAATAAACCCGTTATTAATATATACGTTGCGTTATATTGAAAGTACATCTGTCTTAATCCTCTGTCTGTCACTCCCCCTCTCTGTTTCTCTTACCATTCTTTCTCTCTCATTTTCTCTCTGTCTCTAATTCTCTTTCTTCATTTCCCTCTCTCTCGCGCATGCACTCTCGCGCGCTCTCGCTCTCTCATCCTCTATTTCTCTAATCCCTCTTTCTCCCTCTCTCTGCCTCTCTGCCTCTCTCTCTCTCTCTTTTTCTGCCCCTCTCTCTCTCTCTCTCTCTCTCTCTCTCTCTGTCTCTCGCTCTCTCATCCTCTATCTCTCTCCTCTCCCTCCTCTCCCTCCTCTCCCTCCTCTCTCTCTCTCAGCGCGGGTCATCACCTTCGTTATTATCGCAGACGGTGTACCTATTCGCGTTCGCACGCCTTCTTACAGTTGACGCGCATGTATCTAGGGTTCTTCTGACACTCCCCTCGTCCTGCCCAGCTCTCGCAATACACATTGTCATTCACACATGTGTCCCCGCCTCCACCTAGAAAGAACACTTTCGTCATCAGTAACATCGCCGCAATCATCATCATCATCGTCGTCGTCGTCATCATTATCATCATCATCATCATCGTCGTCGTCGTCTCGTCGTCGTACGACATCATATCTATCATCTATCAATGCAATTGCGTCTCGTCGTATATCACCGATGCGATCAATTTTCCATAAGAGTTTATTCGTACATCGCATATCATGATCATCGTCATCGTCATTATCGTGATCATCATCGTCTTTATCAACGTCATCGCCATCGTCTTTGTCGTCATCTTTATCATCATCAACATCAATATCGTCGCCGTCATCATCATCGTCATCGTCACCCTCAGACGCCGATTGACATTTGTCACTGCAGCAGCAGTAGCAGCAGTAGTAGCAGCAGCAGCAAGTAGCAAGTAGCAGGGCAAGGCAGTAGCTTAGTAGCAGCAGCAACAGTAGCAGAGCAGCA